CTGCGTGCTGGCTAAACTAGCACAAAACTATCTTCATCACTTTCCACTTAGCTACTATGCGAAGGATTTTCTATGCTGACTTTATTTTTATCTGTCTTCTTCTCAGTTGTTATATATATTTCTGCTTCTTTTATATAAGGCGATTTTTCCAAGTGTTCTTTAAAATCGTCAGTTATATTTTTATATTCTTCAACATCTTCTGTTCTGCTGAAAATTGTAATATTTTTTACTAAGAACCATGCTCTAATGCAGTTTTTTATATTCTCTACTTTTACTAAATCATCATCTTTTTCACTTATTTTATATGGTCTAAGAAAATTACATTCAGAATTTTCAAAACTAAAAGGATTTTCATTAGATGCAGGATTTTTCTCGACTAAATAACTCTTATCTTCGAATCGCTGATAAATATAAAACATAGGATGAATATAAGACATGTCAAAACACATCCTGTTGAGCAGTGTTCGATCCTTTGCTAGCTCTTCTGCTGATGGACTAGCTATATTCAGCTTGTACATCCATCTAGCAGACTCAAAATTATCCAGTATAGTTTTGAGGTTAAAAATTGATATATCATTCTTTTCACAGAAATCTATAAAATCTTCGTAGTTTATAGAAGTTCTAATTTTACTATAACTACTCCATAAAGTATGCAGAACATCAAGTATTTTATCTTGTCTGTTTCTTGCTATTTGCATGTCTTTCTGAGTATTTATACTACCACCGGTTGGTCTTCCTATGTTCACTATTACTTTCCCAAGATTCGAAAACAAATTATTTTTTCTGTAGTCTGTAAGACATCCTGTCATTTGAAACTCTATCATTATCAGCTTTATAACCTGTTCAGGTGTTATATTTGCATGCTGATTTATTTCTTGTTTAGAAAGATCCTCCTTTAGTAGGCTGAGATAAATATCTACTAAATCTCTATCAACTGCAGATGTACTAAATAGCATGGGAAGATGCTTATCTGCCAATGCCAATAGATCTACTTCACCTTTATTTGCATCAATTTTTATAAGTTCACTATAATTACAAAAATTTCTAATAAAATCAAAGATGTAGCAATAGGCTTTTCCAAGGATAGCACGTATTTTATCTTCTTTTACACCATTTTGTTTGTATGGCTCTATTCTAAAAAGAGTATATATCATATTCAGAGCAGTAGTTTTATCGCTCTTTGCTAGCTTAAACAGTGTAAGCTCGTGTACTTTTCTATTTTTGTTTTTTGATTTACTGCTGTACTCTTCTATTACTTCCAGCATATGAGAATCAAATATTTTTATTTTTTCTCTTACTGAATCAACTTTATTAAGAGCCGTTAGAAGTAAATGCCTTAGATTATCATGTGGTTTGGGCATTTCCTCATTAAAATTAAAAATAGAGTCGAAACATCGTAGATAGTCTGTTTTTTCTATTATTTCTTGTATAGTTGGATTAAGCGCTGCTAATTTTTCTTCTATGTTGGATAGATTCTTTTTTCCTACTTCTAAATAATTGCTGAGAGTTTCAGATGTTATTTCTTTACATTTAAATGACTCAGCTTCATCAAGAAAGTCTTTACGAATTTGGATCTCTAATTTCATAGAGCTTAATCTTTTATTCCAATAATTTTTTATCACTATCATGTTTTCTCCTCTATTACAACTAGCCTTTTTTAAATAAGCCAGCGTAGCAAGCCCTATTGCTACTTTTTTCAATATTCTCTGCAGGATCATAAATAAATTAAAATATTTCCTTTTTATACTTAACTATTTCACTTCTACGGGGTAAATGCATTTCATTGATGAGTTGATGAGATAACTGATTGATTTTTGGAACGGCCTCAGCCAATTGGCACACGATAAAGACATTTAACGAACTTTTATCCAATAGAATAGCAGCTATTGGTGTTATTATTTTGTAAACCACGTTCTCCTAGAAATTTATCGGCTGTTAATTGATCCATTTTTACTGGTGTATTTGCAAGCCATCATAGTCTGCACTGCTATTCCCGGGTTACATCAACTCTAGGAGAACAAACATTGTATTGACTTGTTCTTTATTGTACAAGGATTGAAATCAAGTATTTGTATTCTGGAGCCTAGCCTATCTTTATATTTTATCCATATAGACCCTCTTCCTCCCAATTGAGCATATGCTTAGATAGCTTAACCATTAGACATGTAAATAAAAAATAAAAGTAAAATTCTACCTTTTTGCATACGCTTAGTAATTATTTTCTTTTTCTTTTTATTCAAAGTAGTGTGTTTATGGCAAAATTAAATTACTTAAATATTTATATATTCTGTATAAACAAAGAACATTATAATAACACTTCATTTATATTTGTTCTCTTGAGATACAATCCTAGAAAATGGACTAGGAATACATCATTCCATTCACTGTTCTAAACATTAACGAATACTATCATAATTCAGACAAACTCTATTTATTCACTATAGTTCTTTTTTATCAGTTATAGTAAGAGATTAAAACATCAAGAATCTCATTGTGTGCGCCTAAATTGGACTTGCTACTGTTTATATTACGGAACACCACAAGTTCTGTCTTCTGATCAGGCTTTTTAGACATGAATTTGCGCAGTTTTTTATGCAGCTCTTCTAGATTTGCTTTTGCTCTGGTTTTTGCAGTAGCTGCTGCATTCTTTTCTTTTTTCATCTTTCTTTTTTCATTTTTGTTGTTTGACTCCTCAGATTCTTCTATGCTTTTATTTGCTTTTCTAAGCCTTTCCTTTACTTTTATAAACGCTTCTTCTGCTCTCTGCACCTTTTTCTTAACCGTTTCTAAATTCTCCTTTTCTCTATAATATTTATTCTCTTGGTCTTTCACGAGCCATGTATATATTTTATCTTTCTTTCTCTCTAAATCACTATCTGCTACATCGCTATTTTTCAGCCAAATGCCTTGTAGCTTGCTATCTCTGTTATACTCTCTTGACTCCAATGCAGCAATAAAACTATTAAACTTTTCTAAATTTTCTTTTTTCTTGAACTTTTCATCTGGCATGCAGTGTGTATACACATCTGCACCTGTTGGCATATTCACACACCATACAGCCTTAAGAATATCACCTTCTTTGATCACTTGATAGTCCATGATATAGCACCCAAGACTTTCTCTTTTTTCTCCTTCTGGCAGTATGTATAGATTGCTGTAGTATTTATGTAGGCATGAATACTTTTTTCCAGTGTATTTGGGATTATATTCATACAAGTTGAGGGCTATATCACCAAATTTTATTTCCATATTTACCTCAGTGTGCTCTCCTTCTTTGATAAAAGGCCCTAGTTCTACTGCTGACTGCATTAACTGCGTGAGAAACAGCGGAATGCGAATAGTTTTATTATTGTCTTCCTTTAAAGGCATGAATTCTGCAAATGTGAGCTTTGTTTTTCTTAAGTCTTCATCAATGCGATAGAACACCACTTCGTACTCTTCTAAATCTTTTACTGTTTTACTTCTTTCTTCCTCTCCAATGCACGACCACTCTCTGGTTTTTTTTCTTACTTTGAAAGGATGTATACTATCAGACTCCTCCTCTATTCCATGCAGCTTTTTTATATATTCTACTATGCCACTAACTGTATGTAAATAGTGCTCATCGTTACTGCCATCTTTTTTGTATATGGGCATACACAGAATTCTGGATAGATGGGTTGTATTGTCTACATAGTATACATGATAGTGAGGCTGTACATCAGGTGAAACGCCCCACTTGTCCATCACATGAGAATATATAGGTTTATAGATCTGTTTAAAAGCACCGTCTAATTCAAAATCCAAGGTTATCTCGCATCTAACATATTTCTGATGTTTTATAGCACACTTGCCCATTAAGATATATTCGTTGTCATTGAAGATAATTGATTTCTCATAGAAGTCAGCAAGAATCATGTATATATCCTTGTACAGCTCGGAGACTTTTGGCTCTTTTTGTATTTTTTTTCATATATACTCTCAAGAGCACTGTGAATACTTTCATACTCATTTTCATTTTCTATTTTTTTGTCATTGTTTTCTGCTTTTACTAATGCATGTATAGATAATAAAACCTGATGTGTTTGCTTATTTTTGCATATATTATCAGAGATCAGTGTGGCTTTTATAAACTTTGCACTAATCTTAGAAAAGTCTTGGTACACTTCAGGCAGTGCTAGAACCATGCGCAGAGCATAAGCGAGGGCAGAATACTTTTCGTGCATTTTGCAGATCCTATCCTGATATTTCATCATCTCATAATTTAAATCAAGACTTTTTCGCATATAAACATCTCCCAATGTTTCATTCCACTTGATCGGTGGATATTTTTTGATAACTCTCAGTGGCTTATGCCTTTCCATGTACGCTAGCATCTCAGCAGCCACTTCAGGATAGAATCCTTCAAGATTCATCAACATTGTTTTGTGTTCGCTCTCTTCTTTATCTGCAAAGAGATTCCTCAGCCACAGCAGATCTTTGTGCTTTGTGTTTACGTTTGTAGTTCTGCACGCAATGAAGTACCACAGCGCATTCTGCTTTATCAGCGAAGCAATGCCTGCAGAAAAACTTTTTATTTCTTTTTTCATCTTTTCCTGGTAGAGATCTGATTCTATTTCATAGTTCAGATACTTATAAAACTCTAGATACTTATAATACTTATATATCGTATGATGATATATTTTACAATTTGCTCTTTGTGCATTAGTCAGTCTCACATTGTTCCATAACCCAATGTTGAAAGTTGCCATTCGATTGCTTTCTTTTTCTGTGTTTATAGCCGCTTGTGATTTATTCTTTTTAATTGACTCTTTCTTTTTTCTTTTAGCCACTGGTTGAGAACTAGGCCCATCTATATTGGATACTTTTCTTTTTTCAACTGTTCTTTTTTTTGCTCTAACTGTTTTACCTCTATTATTTTTTCTAGTAGAAGTAGAAGATGCACCATCTTCATTGTTCTCTTCTATGATATGTGGAGATGAAGAGTGCACATTACCCTGAGTATCTGTTAATTCTATAGGATCGTGTATATAGCCACCATTCTTATTTGGCACAAACCATTCAGAATAGTCATCTATTCCATCAACTGTTCCATCTCTATGATCAGACATTTCAACCATACTTCCTCCTTTATCAAAAACATTCTCATCTATATTAGACTGTGGTTCTATATACTGCTGAGAGGTGCACTGTTCTTCTGTTCTCTGTTGCTCTCTAAAAAATCTATACTCATCCTGGGCTGAGTTACAGGGTGCAGACAAATCAAAAAAAGAGAGTTCTGTGCTGTCCGTTATATTTTCTTCTCTTGAAGTACCCGGCATACTCTGTGCTGGGTTATAGATATTTTCATATATGTTATCACCAATTGCATACTCTCTGGGTTGAATATACTGGTCTGTTATAACATTTTCCAGAGAATTCTCCTCAGCATAAGGGTCTACAATACCGTATGCGTTTTCATCAAAAATATTCCAACTTCCTGTGCAACTTGCAATAAAGAAAACAAGCACTGCACTTACTGCATTTAGCATTTTCTTCAATGCCTGACTTTTCATGCTGAAAATACTATTTTTTTATTTATAATTTTCAGCTGGAACCTTACCCGTTGTACTCTGCTGACACTGTATACATTTTTTATAAGGTGGCTATAGATCGTGCATAGATAAGACTACAGGTAATAAAGACCTTCAACAAGTTTGAGTTAGACAATAAGTATTCTCGAATTATTCCTAGTGCTCTATAGCTCTATCTCTATTCATTTAACTATTGTAATTTTGGTCACTAAATCTTCTCTTCAACCGCTAGTAGACTATATTGTTTTACCCAATTAGAACAGATTATTTTAATTTTGCAGCCAATGTATGTTTTAGTATTTGGATTCCAGTTTCAATGTCTGGCAAATTAGTGGATAAAAGTGTGATGTGTCTGTAAATACAGCAGCACTGTCTGGTAAGTAAGTGCCCCTGTGCAATTCTCTCCAAGTTTCCTACTATTACTGCACTGTGGGTGAATTACTATCTGTTTGGGCAATCATAAATATATTTTATTTATTTACAATTAGTCAGCATGCACATCCTACAGCAGTACAACACCAGCAGAGCAGAAGAGCTGAAGGTGAAAATAGAAAAGAAACAGCAGAACATTGAAAGACTAGAGAAGATAAAGAACACTCTGAACTACAGAGTGCGCCAGCTGAAGGAGGAAATAGCTATCATACAAGAGCCGTCCTGCATTGTTGGCGAAGTATCAAAGAAAATGGGGAAGAACATAGTCCTCGCTAAAACAACCGCAGAAGGGAAACACTTGGTACAGGTTGAGCCGCAGGTGGAGTATGATGCACTTAAGCCGGGAATGCGTGTGGCTCTGAGAAGTGACACGTATGCGCTATACAAGATACTTCCATCCAAGGTAGACCCCATTGTCTCTCTGATGATGGTAGAGAAGTCTCCAGACTCAACGTACGATATGATAGGAGGACTGAACGAACAGATAAAAGAAGTCAAAGAAGTGATTGAGCTGCCGATCAAGCACCCAGAGCTATTCGAGTCTCTGGGAATAGCACAGCCAAAGGGCGTCCTTCTGTACGGTCCCCCAGGAACAGGAAAGACTCTGCTCGCTCGAGCAGTGGCGCATCACACGCAGTGCAGATTCATCAGAGTGTCAGGATCAGAGCTAGTGCAGAAGTACATAGGAGAAGGATCGAGGCTAGTCAGAGAGCTATTTGTGATGGCCAGAGAGCATGCGCCTTCGATTATTTTTATGGATGAAATAGATTCAATCGGCTCAGTGAGAGGAGAGGGATCAAAGGGAGACAGCGAAGTGCAGAGAACCATGCTGGAGTTACTGAATCAGCTCGATGGATTTGAAGCTCACCAGAACATAAAAGTGATCATGGCCACGAACAGAATAGATATACTCGACTCTGCTCTGCTCAGACCGGGGAGAATAGATAGGAAGATAGAGTTTCCAGCGCCAAAGGAAGAGGCTCGGCTGGAGATCCTGAAGATCCACTCGCGCAAGATGAACTTAACGAAGAACATAGATCTCTCTAAAATTTCTGAGAAGTTAATAGGAGCCAGCGGAGCAGAGGTAAAAGGAGTCTGCACGGAGGCAGGCATGTTCGCTCTCAGAGAAAGAAGAACCCATGTAACTAAAGATGACTTTGAAATGGCAGTGGCAAAAGTAATGAAGAAAACTTCCGATCCCAACTTAGATCTGAGAAAGCTGCTGAAGTAAATCCATATTCGACCAATTTTTATTTTTATTTTTTCTTCTCGCATTTTTATTTTTATTTTTCTTGCACCCCAGATGATTAGGAATATTATAATAAACGAGCAAAAGGGAGATAAGTACCCAGCAGATGACGTTCCAGCAAAAGTGCTAAAATGGCTGGAAAACAACAAGAGATACACTGAAGAAGAGAGAACAGATATCATAGAAGGACAGGTTGTCGTGGTGCTGAAAGGCCAGTTTGCTTCAATCAGAGGAGTTGTAGTAAAGAGGCTTCCAAAGAACCTTCTGCTAGTCTCGGGACCATCCAGAATCAACGGAGTGTCTTTCACCGTTGTAAACCAGAGATTCGTGCACCCCGTGTCCGTCTTTGTGCCTCTGGAGAAGAAGTTCATCGACTCCATCGAGTTCAACAGAGAAGAGATCGAGAGCATACGCGACTGGACCACCGAAAACGCATACGATCTGGAAATAATGGAGCTGCTGTCGCTAGATGGAGTGCAGGACGTAATAGACAGTGCCATAGAAAAAGAATGCTCCAAGATCAAAGGACTAAAGACGTACTTCAGCACGCCTTTCACTCTTCCAAAGGACATTGACCCAATGAGTGCTTTCTACTAATAAAATATTTTATAGGCTTCTCTGCAGTTAAATTTCAGCTCAAACTCAAGTCAAATTTGTTTCTATCGAATGTCTCTTTATTAATCAGAAAGTAAATAGTTGACTCTGTGCATGCTTGCTATTCTGCTGTATTTTGCTTCTATGGCGTTGTTGTAGCTCTTGTGGTACTTGGCGCTTGAGCCAAATATCTGCATCAGCTGCTGCATGGATATCAGCCTGCTTTTCTGCAGGCCCAGCGAGTTGTACACCCGTGCAAACACGTACCTATCTAGAACGTACGGGTACACCTTGAAAATAGTGGAATAGCCTGTTTTTATCACTGATATTCGGCGAATCACCAGACTAAGATCCAAATGCTTTGTTTTTCCTGATTTGGTAATCAAAGTGTTTCTTACATCTGCGATGAGCGCAGGCAGAACGGCTTCTTCATGCATCATGGGAATCGATATTTTGTACTTTGTGATATTTGGGAGAGCATGGGAGAGAGTGTGCATAGGCATCTTTATCTGGCGGGCGCCTATCTCTGGTATGTACGTAAATGATATCTTGTTCAGCTGGTGTCTGTAGGAGACCTCAGAGCTCATTAGCACACGCAGCATGGCTGATGTGTCCAGTGATGTTTTCGTGATGTCCAGCGATGAAACATTCGGAAGGACCGATAGCTTATCCAACACATGGAGTATTCTTTTTCTGTTGGCATACGCTGATTCCACTAGAATGACTCTTGTGATATTCTGTGTCTCAGTTAGAGAGAACCGATAGTCTCTTGTCAGATTGTCTCGGATATCATTGTTAACGAATATTTCGATTGTGTCCAAATGGGGAAGGTAGTTGTGTTTCATGGCTCTTTCAAAATAGAACGCATCAGGAGCTGCAAAGTGCATGAGGGTCTTGGACAGCTCTATCTCGCCCTGGAACAACCTGTCCATAAATATTTTGACGTACGGTTCTACTCTCCTATACGCGTGCTCTGAAGGATATGTTAGAGGATAGTACTCTTTAAACCCAAACTTGATCAGACGCGATGACTCCAGCTGCAAAATGCTTCTTTGCGTTAGAAAGAGAGTGTGCGAAAGAATGAGACCGGTGATAACAGGAGGCATGTTCTTCTTTTTTCTGCTTTCATCGGCCTCGAGAATGTCCACTAATAGGGCAGAATATTCTTCTATGTATTTGTGGCCCTGCGGATGGTCCAGGGTAAGAGTGTCCACAGATAGGAAGAGAATGGAAAGAGCTTCGAATACTTCGGATGGCAGTATGCACTCTCCTTCCAGAACTATTTCCATGTTTCTGATTTTTTCCAGTTTGTGCCGTAGGATGAACTCTGACAGAGGCATTAGCTGTCTGATTTTTTCGTACTTCATTCTGTGCTGCGGATTTTGCACAGCAACCAGCCTGACTGAGTCGGCTATGTCCAAATCCTCCACTAGCTCGGCATAAATGAAGGTTTTATCCTTGACAGAAGAAGATACACACACGTCTAGGAACATGCGCAGATCCTCATTTCTTTCTTCCTGGAGGAACCAGAAGACTCTGTCTCTTGTAATTACTTGAAGTGACGGGATGTTTTTCTCTTTCATCACTGGCGTCATTTTTATCTCGTTCAGTATGCTTCTTATTTCGTTTCTTAGCAAAGGCGTATTTTTTATTAAAAAGTACAGATTCTCTTTGAAAACATTTAGCTTTGTAGTTGGCCTGGAAATATTCCTGTACTTTGGGAGGACGGTTTCTTCGTCGTCCAGGTGGAAATAGAGCGACGCCCACAGGATCTCTGCAAACTGCTCAAGGTCCATTTTCCTATGAAATGCATATTTGGGAATACTCGCAAAATAGAAGAATGTTTCTACGTTTCTGAAGTACTGAGAGGGCACAGAAACCATCTCCACAGATGCCAAGTCAATGGGCGCATCGCTGACAAGCCATTTCTTTTTCTCTCCGTTGATCAGTCCTTCTTTGTACACTTTGTGGGACGTGCTGAACCCGTATGCCAGATCTTTGTTGATCATTACCTTACTATTTCCATCTGATGAAAACAGAAGGAGTTTGTCACTGAACACAAACTCGCCCTGGGAGGAGCACAGCATAAAAAATGATAAAAATAGAAAAAGTACTCCTTTGTTTGTTCTCCTCATTGACATCACCAGAAGAATCGCATAAAATAGAAAATATCAAATGAAACATTGCCACATGTCCTAATAATGCCAACAATAGGCCTTTTTAAAATTAACTATTTATTTTTCACACTGAAACCATCCAATCAGCTCGGAAAAACAACAAAAACACCCAAAGCAAAGGCTATGACTATGTTTGACTTTGAAGAGAAGGAAACAGAGCCATACTCCATGGACAAATTGCTCTTTGATAGTTTATAGCTATGTAGCAGACAGCCAGCTATCTATAGGATAATTGCACATTTTCTTTTTCAAGTTATTCCAAAAGCTCAAAAAGTTAAATTCGTATTCCATAATTACAACTGAGAAGTAAAGAAGTGAATAATTTAAATTTATAGTCCATACATCATACTCTTATAGCTCACATTTATATATCTTACTCCACCCACACTCCTCTGTCTGTGACTCTGCAATATACTATACGTTCTATCTCTATCTTATCTCTAAATATGTCTTGTCTCTAGTTATCATCTACTATTTGTCTGTACAATGAGTCATCACTACTGCATAGTTCGTCCAATTCGTCCATTTGGTCGCCTGTGTCTATTTCTAAATGGTCAGTAAATTCAAAAGCGTCTTTCTCGTCTAGCACATGATCTGCTTCGTATGTCTCTACAAGGAACTTTTCTTCTTTCTGTTTTTTCAGCCTAAACACCGACTCATACATCCACTCGGCATGCACATACTTTATGTTCTCCAATTTCTTGCACCTGACTTTTTCAATGCCTCCAATAATCACATGGGTTACATCGGTGGCTGTGAACTTGCCTCCAATAGCTCCTCCGTAGTGCACAAAAAGTGTTGCTAGATACGTAGTGAATTCGTTCATAGGCGTAAATATGCGGGCAACACATCCGTGGAAGATATTCTTTTTTCTGCGGAGAATGTTGGCTGTGTTTTGCTCTTTATTGAAGAACTCCCTGTGTATATCTATTAATCCGTTGAGGACCTTTTCCAGCTCGTTGTCAAAGTATGCAGCTATGCATTCTTCTCCCACTCTCTCCAAAATATCTTCTACGCCATCCTCTACTATCTCTTCTACCCTTTCGCTCTCTTCTCTTCTGCTGTTACTGCGAAGCGCTTCCGGGCTGTTTATGTCTTCAGACTGGAAAAAGTAGTATGGCCGTATGGGATACAGGTTATCCACAAATCCCCACACGTCCGGCCTGTCGTCCAGTATAACTACGTGTTTAGAGTTGGTTGGAAAGAGTCTTTTAATATCCTTGTCAAAGCACCCAAAGTTGTCGTCTCTGGTGACTATTCTGTTTCCGAATATTTTCCCTGTTTCATCGAGGATCTTCACTATAGCCGAAGCATACGCCTTGTTTCCCATTGTGTATATGTGTATTTCGAAATACTTCGACACTTCTTCTAAAAACCTCTGGAGATTATCTCTCTTTTTTACAAAATACGAATACCCATCTATCTTTATTTCATTCACACTTTTAATGGCTTCTATTTTTCTAAGGGCGTCCTTCTCCAAGCGGCTTCCTATTCTCTCTTCCAATAAAACACATTCTTTCATTTTTCGATAATATCCTCCAAATCTACTCGACACGCTCGTGTGGATCACTGTCTGATCGAGGTCCAGTAGGAGCACAAGTCTCTTGTTCTTCGTGGTGCTATCATACATCTCTTCATTGACTCTTTCTGCTTCTGTTTTATTCAGCTGTACATTCGTGTTGTTGTGAAGCAGCGTGAAAAGCTCTTCGTTCTTATTTTCCATGTCTTCTCCACAGCATCCACACATATTTCCTATGCGAATCGGATGGCTGCACTCTTCGTCCATACGGAATAAAAAATATTTACTATTTCATCATGGCCTCCATGTACCGCAAAACCCTCCTACTTCCTCTGGCCACTGCTATGAAGTACGGACACTCGTTCCTCCTGTTCTGCTGGTGCATAGATGCTCCGGCCTCCATGAGATACATAACTATCCGCTCCCTGTTGTACTTGGCTGCAACATGGAGGAGTGTACTTTTTTTTGCATTTTGTATCTTCGAAATATCAACCATTTCTCTGTCAACTATTCTCTTCAGCGCTGAGAGATCTCCTATTTCAATGCACCTACTGAGGACTCCAAATAATCCCTTCTTTTCCTGATCTCTTGTGTATTGTGTACTCATAAATAACACAGATCCCCGCTATTTGAATAACAAATACGGAATTAATTTTATTTTATTTTTTAGGGGAATGTCAGTCCAAGAACTATTCGTAGATGGAGAAAGACTCACAGGGGGAGCAGCGCGAGAGAGGAATCTATCGGCTGTCTTATCAATAGCCAATACGGTGCGGTCTTCCTACGGGCCAAATGGCCTCGACAAGATGATCATAAGCAAAATAGGGGATGTGTCCATTACAAACGATGGAGCAACCATCCTTTCTTCCCTGCAGAGTACTGACTCAGCTGCAAGGATACTCATAGACCTCGCAGTGCAGCAGGACGAAGAGGTGGGAGACGGAACAACAAGTGTGGTGCTTCTTGCGAGCGCACTGATAGAGTACGGGATAGGATTGATAGATGAAGGCGTGCATCCATCTATTGTCGTATCAGGGTACAAGACAGCATTTAAGCACTCAGTAGGATTTATAAAGAGCACTCTTACGAAGACCCTGAAGAGCGTTGGATACTCTGATCTCCTGAAGATATGCGAGAGCACAATATCCAGCAAAGTCATCAGATGCAGCACAAAGCTCTTCAGCTCAATAATAGTAGATGCTGTCCTAGCCATTAAGACAATAGAGCTGGACAAGAGCACAACGTACCCCATAGAGCAGGTGAACATCCTCAAGAAGCAGGGAAGGAGTATGGATGAAAGCATATTTGTATCTGGGTATGCCATTAACTGTGTGCCGTGCAGCAATCTAATGCCGCAGAGAATCAACAAGGCTCGCATTGTATGTCTGGACATGGACCTGCAGCAGATGAAAATGGGCCTATCAGTTAAAATAACGGCTGATACACCGGATGACCTGGAGGAGATAAGAAACAAAGAAGTAACCAACTCGCACGATAAGATAAGAAGACTCTTGAAACAGGGCGCCAATGTCGTATTCACCACCAAGGGAATCAGCGATGGGTGCAGCAAGCTGCTAATTGAAGCAGGCGCGCTCGGCGTAAGAAGATGCAAGAGAGACGATCTCGAAAGAATTGCACTTATTACAGGAACAAAAGTCTACACTTCATTTGACGACATCACAGGGGACGAGTTTGTTCCTGTTTTGGGCACTGCTGAAAGCGTCCACGTGGAGGTGCTCGGAGAAGAGAAGTGCATGGTGATAAGCACGCCTAAGGGCATGGGGGCGTCTATTATCCTCAGAGGAGCCAACGAGCAAATACTGGATGAAATGGAGAGGAGTGTGCACGATGGCCTGTGCGCCCTCAAGAGAACCCTTGAGAGCAAGTCAGTGGTGACAGGAGGAGGAGCATTTGAGGCAGCCCTTGGGACGTACATCTACAACTTTGGCCTCTCCTTTGGAACCAATGAGCAGGTTGTAATACAGAAGTTTGGTGATGCTTTGCTGCGCATTCCAAAGACTCTTCTGGTGAATGCAGCACTGGACCCAAATGAAGTGTACGCTAAGCTGCTGGCAGAGCACGAAGCATGCAACTGGGACACGGGCCTAGACCTGGAAATGGGAGCAGTCAGGAACAACTTCAAGGCTGGCGTGCTGGAGCCTCTGGACACGAAACTAAAGGCGCTCAGAGCCGCGACAGAGGCAGCCATCAGCATATTAAGAATCGACGAGGTGATTGTCCTGGCAGAAGATGAGCCTGTGAAGAAGTAGCACACAACCAAGTATCAATAAATTCAACTCAGCAACTAAGTTAATTCTCCGTTAGATTAAGTTGTATTTGGAAGGCAAAAAATGAAAATATTTTACTTTTATTTGTTCTACTATAAGTTTACTAGTCATTATTGTGTTTTTATTTCTTTTTTAGACCATCATTTACTGCGCTCATGTAATTACAGTTTGCTATCAGTTTGTTCAGTCTTGTTTAGCCGTTATTGTGCTGTTATTTTCATTTATCTGCCTATTTTCCTATTTAGTCTCTGTCCATCTGCCCGAATATGCATTTTTTATTTTTTCGTTAACTCTTCTGTTGTCTGCTATTTATCCAGTCAGCTAGCTGCTTTTTCCTCTAGTCATCTACCTTCTTCTGATCTCTGCTCTTCTCTTGGCCTTCTGGTCTCTTACTCTCTGTCTCTGCAGCACGCATCATGATGCATTGTGTGATGTGATTATTCGGTCAATCATTTGTGACCTGTGAATAGGTCAATAGTATTGGAGTTAGGTCTTGTCTGCTGATTGGATCATCCTGAAAAAGGGAATTGGATGTTTTGCAGGAGTGTTTGGATTGAATTGGTTTTTTGCTTTGTGATCTTGTAATTGGTGTAGAATCAGGTTTGCAATTGGTTAAATAAGCAGATGTCATATTTTGAAACTATTTATAGCCAGATATCTGCCGTCATACAATGAGAAAACAGAGCATAAAAAACTTTTTAGTACTAACCATCATCACATTTGTCACATTCGTATCATTCATCAAATGTGATGCTGCTGCCATAGGACAGGGAGCCACCCCTACTAAAACTCCCATCGGATCCGGCGCAGAGCCTGCAGGAAAAGGCCACCCCACTGGCCCTGGACCTGTGGAAAAATCACACCACAGCTCCTCCTCCTCCTCCACCACCACCACAACGCACTCTGGATTCTACGGCATTCTTATCTATGAACCAGCCCAGGGCGAAGACGTCAGCTACTTCTATATAATCGTCATGAGTCCAATAACTTCTATAATTGGTCTTATCCTTGGTATCACTATGATCGTCTTTGGAGTGCTGGGAGTTATGTCTGCAGGAGGCGTTGGATCAGCATAATATTACTAAATAAAAACAAGCATTTATTACTTATCAGCACCGTTTGTTGTCTTTATCCATCGAGTGTAACTGAAAAATTGTGAAAAATTAGAAACAAATAAGCACTACTAACCGTCGCATAACTACTGGCTATTTTGACTGTGTATATCTATGTTAGTCAATAGTGGCATAGTATCCATGCTAGTAACTGCTATAGCTTGCTATACCTGGCGATATTTGGCTTAATTAAAAGAGCATTTGTAATTTCTGGTGATCATAAGAGTAGTGAATAGGTTATAATAAGTTAGTTTATTCCTGTTGCTGCTATTTATTCAGCCTTTGAGGTGATATCAGTGATAACCACAAGATATGGCGTATCTACAAGCTTAAACCGGATACTGCCTGATGCGCCCACAAGTGTCACGTGTTTCTTTATCTCTTCGATTGTTTCCTCGGAGATTCTGGACAGGGCAACTGTTAGGACTTCTGCTGTTTCTTCGTTCAACACAACGAGAGACCCGTCGTTCTCGTTTATTTCCATGAACTCGCAGGGTATCTTGACGAGCGAACACACGTACAGGTTGGTCTTAGATCCTTCTGTGAACTGGTAGTTCTTTCCCGTGACCAAGTTGAGGCCTGAGAAACAGAACTTTGCTGCCCCGTGCTTTCCTGGCTTTGATTTTGATATGCTGGTTATTTCAACCAGTTTAACGCCTCCTTCTTTTATAAGTATAATGTTCTTTGCTCTTATTTCCTGTGTCTGTATCATATCTACTACCATCCCACTTGTGTCGTTGTCATCGTGTGCCATTTTAACAAGGGGTCTAAAATAAAATTAATATACACTAAAAAACTAAAAGAACAACAGACAGCAGAAGAAGAAGAAAAGAGACCAAATAAAAAACTAAAAATAAAAATAGAAAGTACAAAAGAGAGTTAATTAGCTAACAACGGATGAACAGATGGGTAGTAGATGGATGAATGAATGAGAAACTGGCTAGAAAAGTGGCTAATAGATGATACTAAGTGCAAAAATTTAACTGTTTAACTATTTAATTATCCAACTGCCGTATAGCAATTACCTAAATATCTGTCTAACTACACACTGACGCTCTCTTTTTGTATCCCATCACTGCTGCATAGAAGTGTATCTTTGATGAGGAGTCGGACAGCTTCATCAGAAGATTGGATGCTCTGTCGAGTAGGTCTACTTCTCCCGTATCTTTTCCCAGTTTAAATATTATCTTGGAAATATCTTCAGATGAATATCCGTCTTCAAACAGTCCATCCAATAAAGAAATGGCGTCCTTCTGCCGGACTTCTTTTGAGAATATTTTCTGGATTGTTTCTATGGGGGGAATGTGGCTCATTCTTTGGACGATCTCTACATCGATGTCCTTAGAAATCGCTGCTACTGTCTGCAGCAGGTTTAGCCCCTGTCTAGCATCACCTTCCGCTGTTTCTGCGATGCTTCTGACCGATCTATCGCTGATGCTCAGTCCTTCTGCTTCGGCTGTTCTTTTGATTATTGTCTCTATGTCCGAGGTAGAGAGCTTGGACAGTCTAAGAATAGCGCATCTGCTCTGAATTGTGTCAGAGATCTTAGTGATGTCGTTGCATATAAATATGAATTTTGCGCTTTGGTGCTTTTCCAGTAATCTTCTCATCGACTGCTGTGCCTGCGTGGTCATTGAGTCAGACTCATCAAGAATAAGAAATCTGTCGTTCGTTAGCTTCTTCTGCAGGAATCCCTTTATCTTTATTCTTACCACGTCCACTCCTCTTTCATCAGATGCATTCAGCTCTAGCACGGACTCTTTCTTTGTTTCTGGGCGGTCTTTGAAGATGTGGTTTAGCAAGGCATTGGCCACCGTTGTTTTTCCTATCCCCGGAGTTCCTGCGATGATTATGTGCGGCATGTTCTCGTCCTGCGAGAATATCTTGAACACATCGATCACTGCCTGGTTTCCAACTATTTCATCCAGGCTCTTGGGCCGATACTTCTCAATCCATGGAATGCTGTTCATAAAAAATATTCGCAGAGAAATTACTAAATACACTTTGTGAATAAAAGTATAAAAGTGCCAAAAAGCAGCAGAAATAGTTAATCATACAATACTTTTATTAGCTCTTAAACAATCACCTATTTCTAGCGGCAATATTACTGATCCTAAATATCTTATCTAAGTTCAGTGGCAATCTATCTTGTAGCACTGCTGCTCTCATTAGATTCGCTCTGTTTCAATAGTCCTTTACTAATTCCCCTATTCTAGTGGTAATTCTCTGGTTAATTCTATCAGTGCTAATAATTCTCTATCTATTTCCAGTTTACTCTAATTTATCTATCATCTATCTTAATACTAGCTCATTTCTTCAGTGGATTATACTTCAGTGCATACCAATTGCTCTTACATCCAACATACGGGCACTGAAACTTCTTTTTTCCCTTTGTATTGTTGTACAGAAAGATCAGCCCTTGTTTGTCGAATGCGTGCCCGCAGGGTGCCTCCACTCTTTCTTCTATCTCTTTCTGTGTTATTAAACAGATGTTCCCCTCTACTGTTTCTTCTACTGTTATGTCTGTGTGCTTCTTCGATCTTATCATAGCATACTCTTTGTTTTCTTTTATTCTGCTTTTGTTCTTCTCTATGTCTATCGATAGGTTGTGGTACTCTTCTGTTTCTATGCTTTCTCTGTTCTCTTCCAGAAGAATCTTCAGAAGCATCAGCTCCCTCAGTGTTTTGTCTGTTACAATCTGCTCGCTGCTCTGTTTCAGCCTGTCCACTAAGTAGTTTACACACACCATGACTTTTTCCAGTTTGTTCTCTGCTTCTTTTCTGGCTTCTCCTGCAATGTTTGCAATATTCATTTTAAAATTTTGTGTGAGATTAGAGGCGTTTTTTGGCTCCATTGTGAAACACCCGGGAGTGCTTAGTTATTAAGTGGAGTATTGTTTATGACGTATGAAGTCAGTCGTAGTAGCCCATTGTCTCGTGATAATGGCAAGAACAGCCGCATGCCTTATGGGGAAAAAAGCACAGCCTGTTTACGAAGATGCAAAGTGCACAAATGACAACAAGATAGCTCTGTTAAACCTTCAGGGCGTGTGGAATGTCTTCCCATGCCCAGATGAGCACAAATGTGTAAAGGAAGGAGACATGATACGGTGCATGAAGGATGACACACAAAATAGTCAGAATGCCCCCCGAGTGAAAATACACACAGTTACAGTTACGCTCCCAAGCTCAGACTATGCCACAAAGACGCCCTCCATAGCACCCACCAGCAGACCATCAGATGGATCGAGCCAAAGCGCAAATGCATCAGCACCAAGCGCACAGATGAATGAGCCGCAGAAGAAAGATCTGCTAAAAGACCTCACTGACCCAGGCCTACCAGGACAGATGCACATTAAGCCCAACAGAAAGGGAAGCAATCAGCCAGGCAATCAGATGAACAACTCATCAGGTAGTCAAATGAATAATCAAATGAGCAATCAGCCAGCTAATCA